TTGCCGAATTTTTTCCTGTTCGAATAATAATCTCGATAATAATGAATATCGTCATCTATCGAAAAGTATCTATTTCAAATTTGTCTGCTTATAATAATATTAAAAATATACTTGCGACTTTTTAAGTCTATACTTAAAATAATTCTAAAACAACAATACCTTTTATCACGACTCAATTTGGTTTTAAATGGAACTACGTACCTACTTCTAAAGAAAGATTTTACAGTCTGGCAATAACGTAGTAATTGTTTTGTGTTCTCATGGTGTTCTCAACTTTCTTGTGAGAAATCAGCTGACTGCGTTCGAGAACCTGGTGTGTCGTATAAAAGTCCCACAGCTGCCGTTCGGAAAGGCGAAGTGTGGATTAAAATCATATGGTTTTCGGCGTTCGGAAGAGTGTTTGACACGTATTGATGTGCGCACCGAATACTCTAGAGTGAAATTTAAGCTCAAATTTTGAAGATGCACTCCCTGAAATAATTTCCACACCAACAACCAGGTTTTCGAACGCAGCTCTCTGATACCCAAAACATAAACAGACTGGTTTATAAACATTCTATTTTCATAAGTGCGAGAAAGAGGTCCTGGTCTCATTCTGGAACCAAACAAATTCTATAGCACATTATTATCGTTATTAGTCTAGAGAGAGAGAGTGTTCAATGGTCGAAGGTTTCTACAGTCGTAGGTACTTATACAGTGTGTCGGGATATGGATATTCGCCCGACAACGCTTGACAGCTGACAGACCTCATAATGTCATAAAAACTGAGATATGAACATGCAGCCTTAAAGTGCTCAATTCTCAAGATAAAGGGTGTCAAAGTTGTACTTTTATTTTCGATTTTTGTCATTATTATTCCTCAATAAAACGACACAGCGATCCGAAATAACGTCTCGGTAGGAGGGGGGGGGGGGGGGGGGGGGGTTGTTTAGGCAAGAAATACCAACTTATTCACGGTTTTGATATTTTGATATCACTATTAGAGGGCGGCACCTACGGCACAAATTATCAAAACTTTCTCCCAGTTTGGTGCATCGATGTGAATATTAAAAAAATCGATTCTTTGTCAAGTTCTTAGAGGTAACCGTTTTCGAGATAACCTTGGCTAAAGTTTCCAATGTGAAGGAATTATTTGTAAAGAGTCGAAGGAAAGAATTATCGGTATCCACGCACGAATAAATAAAAAAATCATGTTGCTACTGGTGATAGGTATCAAAACTGTGAATGAATTTGTATTTCTAGCCTCGATACGTAATTCTGGATCGCTGCGTCGCTCTACTGAGAAATAATTAATGGGCATGTTTCCGAATTTTTTTTGGTCTATTAAATAGTATTTTGCTTGCTAATTCTTAATGTGTTTTTTGTTTTCTACCGTTCCCTACTTTTTTTTTTATATTAACTTTTGAAAACGGGACTACATTCAAACAAAATCCTTTCTGACGTCACAAAGGGTTCTGCTCATGCGCATAACTGTTTTAGGATGTTGACAGATTGTGCTTTTTGGATTAATATGAAATATAATTATCATTTAGAAAAAATTGAGTAAGCATGCAATTAATTATTTATGTGAAACAATAATATAAATAGATGCAATAATCATGTAATTAATGGTTTCTGAAAATATATCTTGAATAAAGATAAGTAACTTGGCAGCAATGACTGGCGGTGCTGCCACTTTTATCGGCTGAAAGCTGTTTTGTTTTTGCTCTATTAAGGGCCCCATACACTACGATGAAACACGACGGTTTTCACCGCCACGATGAAACACGTCGTTCTAAAACCGAAGTGTAATAGAAAAACACGACGGTTTTCTACAGGGCCCCACAGACTACGATGAAACACGACGGTTTTCATCGCCACGATGAAACACGTCATTCCAAAACCGAAGTGTGTGGTAGAAAAACGTTCGTGTGTACGAAATGTCGAACCGTCGTGCCAAAAATCAAGCTTGGACTGAATTTTAAACCGACGATGAAACACGACGGTTTTCTACCACACACTTCGGTTTTGGATCGACGTGTTTCATCGTGGCGATGAAAACCGTCGTGTTTTATCGTAGTCTGTGGGGCCCTGTAGAAAAACGTCGTGTTTTTCTATTAAGGGCCCCATACACTACAATGAAACAGACGGTTTTCACCGCCACGATGAAACACGTCGTTCTAAAACAGAAGTGTGTAATAGAAAAACACGACGGTTTTCTACAGGGCCCCATACACTACGATGAAACACGACGGTTTTCGCCGCCACGATGAAACACGTCGTTCCAAAACCGAAGTGTGTGGTAGAAAACCGTTCGTGTGTGCGAAATGTTGAACCGTCGTGCCAAAAATCAAGCTCGGACTGAATTTTAAACCGACGATGAAACACGACGGTTTTCTACTACACACTTCGGTTTTGGAACGACGTATTTTATCGTGGCGATGAAACCCGTCGTGTTTTATCGTAGTCTGTGGGGCCCTGTAGAAAACCGTCGTGTTTTTCTATTACACACTTCGGTTTTAGAACGACGTGTTTCATCGTGGCGATGAAAACCGTCGTGTTTCATCGTAGTGTATGGGGCCCTTTAGGCAGTTCGAATCAGCTGATAATTCAAGATGGCGATGCGGCACAAATGTAAACAAACCATTGAGGTTAAATATGCCTCCATATAAACACAGATATAAATGTGTGTTATTTCACTTATTTCTACCTGTTTCAGAGTTTAATTTGATGAATATTAATGTATATCAATTTCCTTTAATGTTCGTAGTTGGAATATTTTTCTATTAATAAAATACCTGGACATCAGGTACAAAATGGACCCCAAGAAGCTGTGCCCCAAGTAGGTAGAAAGGCTTAAATATAAGTTACATCACATCAAGATGATTTTCTTGAACTCCGATCCGTTGTTCGTGTGCTCCAGAACTGTAAGCAGTCTGAAACAAGTTCATAAATATTTTTTGATTTTTGATAAAATGCAGAGTGCTTATCTACAAAAGTTATTGCTGGAATTTCTTGATGTTGGGAAGAGGTAAAAGTTTCTAGTTCACTTGTATTAAAAGATAATGGGCATATGAAACATGCCTCGACAATCTTGGCATTTTTGACAAATATAAATTGTGCCAGAAGCAAATGAATGTCAAAAACATAAATTACATGAACCACAACAACGCCAAAAATAAAAATTTCTATCAAAAAACGTTCTCAAACTGATAAAAACACTTTAGAAATTCACAGAAAAATGAAAATAAACAGGGTTAAGCTGTGTAAACCACTGTGTAAACAGTCTCTTATGGACGTCAAGGTCAAGTTTGTTATGCCACAAGCCGCAACGCCATCTTGAACGTCAAACATCAAACTGCCCTATAACACCTAATAACCTAAAAAAATCATAATTTTTGTCATTTGCTTTGCGTATTTATATGGTTAAAATCAGTGTTTTATATTTAATTCCATTATTATCAATCATAGTTAACAAATAAAGTTAGAAGTGTGTATTAATACAACAGATGACATTTGAATGGCGAATGTTAGGTTCAAAAAGCTGGCAGCACCGCATCTAACAACATTTTGTTGATTGTTGCTGATTGGACAACTGAGATGGCGGTAAAAACGTGAGAATTCGGAAATAATGCTCCTTTCAACAGCCTGAAAAAGGTAGCAAAGAGAAGGAAAAGAATGCAAAATATTTTCTCGATTAAATTCTTAGCGCAATCTATCGATTCGCAAATACTAAAACGTGTTTTAAGAATGTAGAAAATATCCCCATTGACAAAAATTGAAAATTAAAGTAAAATTTTGACACCCTGTACCTTGAAAATAAAGCATTTTAAGGCTTGATGTTCCTATTTCAATTTTTATGGAAATGCGAGGCGAGGTCTGTCACCTATTAAGCGTTGTCGGTCGAATATCTTCGTACCGCGCCAGATAGTTGAGAAAACAAAGGATTTTCAACATAGATACTTTTCACCACTTGACTGAATTTGAAGGAACATGTGAAAGTAAGCGAAGACGCAATCAGTATAGAGCCACGAATGGATTCAACCACATCGACAATAATTCAACACTCTCAATAATTGAGGTATTCTGCAAAGTACAAATACAACGCGATCCATTACATAGCTTTATTACTAGGGACACCTTCAGCTACAACCAGCTCATGCAGATTATCTGGACCGACCTGAAATATTTACAAATTGAAATAACGATTTGTAACCTTCTCAACTATTGCGAAACACGGTCCTTCGCATAAATGAAGATAGAACCGATGTGATAGCATCCACTTCATGTAACAGTAACATTCTCCCCAGTTTCAAGGTTGACAACTTAGTTGATAATTTCACTTACTGTGAAAAATTCTAATAAAGTTATTTACGACCAAATGCTGCTTTGATCTAAGCAAACAGCTAAGAAACCGCCATCTGAGCCAAATAACGAACTCAACCATTTATCTGACAGAGGATTCGTAAGATTGGAACACATCTAAAGCAGACAATACCATATGTATATTCTCTTTGAGCGTGAGATCATAATGAGGTGCTATTTGCAGAATGGTATAGGAACAGAAACAACTTTCCAGTTCATGAAAATGCAGGCAAAACAACGGTTGAAGAGATATGTATCATTCGTCGAGATAGGAAGACTGAGATAAGTAGGACATCCCCTGAGAGGGAGCAAAAGGCAACGGTTGGCTGAGAATGGGGATGGTTAGCAGAGTTAACGAAGGAAAATCGGGGCAGAACTGCCGTAAAATGGAGATGCTGATCCTTTTGAGTTTAAATGGCTTACTTTATTTTACGCTAACATTAATTAAGAAATATGAATTCAATAGATAATCCCAAAATTGTGATAAAACAGAACAGTTGCTTTAATAAGAAGGACAACTATTGAAAATTTTAATTTTTGGTAGCCGAAAAGAAAGTACGAGAAGCATTTCCGATATTCGAGTAGGCTTGCAAACTTTTCTCGTCTCCCAATCCCAATCATATGATGTTCAAATCGATACATTGCTAGGTACTTACTTCCTCCATACCGAACTATGGCCGCTTTTTTTCTCAAAAACTTGTACTCCATTCGATAGTCGAAATTATATCCATTTTCAATTTTTGAAAGCTTATATAAATTGACGTGTATAATGATGGATTTTGTTTCGCTGTAGTACATAACAGGTCCCCATGACGTCCCGCACCATGAACCGCCCACCTGAAAATTGAAAAAGGCGCAAAGCATTAATTAAACTATTTCTTAAAACTCTTAGATCAGATCAGATAAACTAATTGCAAATACTATTCTCAATACTTTAAATATATCTTTAATGCCCATTTAATATTATCGAATAAATTTTAGTTATAAAACAAGAAAAGTTTTTTATTATAAAGGGTGCCCCAATAGGTCCAAATATGGTAAGCTATCAATCTTCAAAAAAAACACAAAGATTACTTTGATTACCAAAACGTACGTCGCATTATTGTTTCTTTATTGGTCAGGATTTTTGACACGACGACATTAAAGTTCATTGACAAAATTAAAGAAAAATATTGCTAAGACATACGTTTAAAAAACCATAACAATCTTTGATTGGGTTTTTTTGAAGACCCGTTAGCTTGAGCTCTGGGATGCGTAGATGACAGAATAAGAAATCGTTTGAGCAAATAAATTGCAATAAAACAGAAAGCGTCTCTGACTCCGACAGTAGTATAAATCTGAGCTTCTTGGCTCTCTGGGGAGTTTAAATTAAAACAAAAATGAACTAGAGACGAAATGATGAAAAACAAAATAAAGACGTGCACAATTCCGAAAGAGAAAAACAAACCAGCAACAAACGACATCCATAAGTTAAATGACATAATAGTGAATACGAAAACAGAAGCGAAAGAAAAACTCGATTCGACAAGCGCAAAAAAGTAAAACTCAGTATAGAACAAAGAAGGACTATTGGAAGTGACAAAATCGGAAACCAACCCACTTTAAAAGAAATAAATCGATACATTGCTAAGGCCATCACGAGGCACATGAGAAATATAAAAACGATGAAATTTGTAGTATTTCATCGTATAGAGGTAATGGTAAGGAAAACTTGTCAATAAAAAGAAAGAGATTTTCTAGCTCAAACACGAAACTGGACGAACAACAAATCATAGACAAGAAGCTACCTACGTATTGTGGAAAGGTTTTAACTCTTTACACAAATCAGAGCTCTCTGGAACATGGGCAAAGAAGAGTGAATCAGGGTTTAGAGGAAATTCCTGATATTTCTGAAGAGGAGATTTACAATGCGTTCGAAAAGATGATGAACTCCAAAGCTCTAGGTAAAGACGGTACGAGAGACGGCATAACAAAAGGGATAATAGAAATGGGTGGTAAAGAAATAATTAAAAATATATTTACATAAGAAAGGGGATGACGCAGATCTTAGAACTACCGGCCTATCAGTTTAATGAATCACTTGTATAAGCTATATGTATACTTGAATTTTAAATTATTGGGAACTGATTGAAAATTAGAATAAACTTTGATCCACCTAGGGATAAGGCTGGCTTTTGCTCTGACTACGGCACAATTGACCTCCTGCAATGCCTAAAAACCCTTATAGACTGAATATCATTGCCCCTTAGATCTGGTATTTGCTGATCGTAGAACTTCGACACAGTGCTAGACATAATTATTAGTAGGTATATAAAAGTTTTTCAGTTAGTAACCATCCTGAAGTCGCCTTCCAAAAGTCTACAAAGATCAGCACCAATAATTTATTATGTTACGTTGTCTTTTCAATTAGATTTTCCAGACATTGTAAACGGTCAATCGTACTGTACCTACCCTGAGCGAAATCCAGCCTGCTCTCGGGGATGGAAGAAGTCTAATTTAATATCCATTCTGTTTCTAAGTATACGTGCATATAATTTATATATGTGATCAAGCAGACTGAATGGTCTGTTTTTTCCGGTATATCTTCTTTTTCGTAAATGATATTCATCAAGGCGTTTTCCATTTCTTAGGAGTTTCTTGAGTGTGTAGACAAAGACTGAAGCGTTTTGTATTGTGTCGATAAGTTCCTGGCCTCCTTTCTTCATTACTTCTATCACTATAGTCCGCAGAATGGAAGATTAAGGACAACGCCTGAGGGGGGGAGGAAGGAGGAAGCAAATGCTTAGCCAGCTTACTAAAACCATTGAGATTATTGAGAAATACTTAAAAGCCTGTTGACTAGACAAAGACAAAAATAATGCGGAGGAGTTGTGTTTGCTCATGTACAGGGCGGTCGCATTCTTTCAATACTTTTTTTTAAATGCGGCAGACTAATTCCGTCTTCTGCTGCTTGGTATTTTTTCATCTTGCCAGGGACGTAGTGTACAGGGTTTCCCCTTATATTTTTGCACCCCACCTGCAGCGTCAGGAACAAAAATTTCTTTTCAGAAAGGACATGGCACGGATTATATGGAAAATAAAGGCCAGTCGATTTTTTTAAAATTTTAATATGTTGTAGAGTGAGGGAAAAGAAACAAAAGTTACCATGGGCTCATTGTGCCGCCCCGACCAATAGGAGATCTACTAAATGAGTTTAAAGAAAGCTTGGAAATGACCGAAAATGGCAAATTACTAAAGTTTTCATGTTTTATATTGTTGTCTTTTTAGCTAAAAAGTTGGTTTTGAGAAAAATACCCAAGATTTTAACGCCTCCCCCCCTCGCAAGAAGAAGGAAGAGATAGAAAATATCTTTCAAAAAATTATATCGACAGATATCACTTCCCTGCCGCCATCCCCAAATTCGCGTTTTTCAATTGTCTTTTTTTCGCGAAAAGGATGTATCCATAACATATTAGAATTCTAAGGCATAGTTATAGTAGTATGAATAAAGTGTAGATGGTGTGTTTTTATGTTTTATTTATATGTTTTTATGTTTTTAAAGTTTTCTTTAAACTCATTTAGTGGGTCTCCTATTGGTCGGGGCACAATGGGCCCATGGTAACTTTTGTTTCTTTTCCTTCACTCTACAGCATATTAAAATTTTAAAAAAATCGACTGGCCTTTAGTTTCCATTTAATCCGTGCCATGTCCTTTGAAATTTTCCGATCTTTCAACTTTTTTCAAATGAAATGCCCTTTATGTATTTGAAATGCACAATTTTCCGATTCCAAAAATATATAGTTTGTCTATATTTGGTTGAGCCGTCTCCAACATATTTGGCTCTAAATTTTTTTAAAATACTATCACAGAAACCAAGTGTCTCAAATTTTACCTGCAGCTGTCACCTTGACAGGTAGAATGGTTCACAAAATCTAAGGCAGTAGGATAGGATTGTTACAATTTTCACAATTTCCAAATATGTTGGAGACGGCTTAGCCAAATATAGAGAAACTATACATTTTTGGAATCGGAAAATTGTGCACTACAAGAATATAGAATCAAATATAGGACATTCCATTTGAAAAAAGTTGAAAGTACGCAAAAAAACAAATGTCTGAAATAAATGTTTATTTCTGACGATGGATTCTAAAAATTTAGCTAAAACTGCACAACTTTTATATTTACTCCTATCATCTACCTGTAAAGGTAAAGGCTGCAGGTGGGATGCAAAAATATACGGGAAAACCCTGTACTTCTTCTGCCGTTATGTGTGAGATTTCTTCCAACTCCTGATTCAGTACTTTTGTTAGTATGTCTTTTCGGTTTTTCGTTATTTGATTTTGGTTTGTATAGGTACAGGTCTTCCTAAAACTGTTCGACATTGTGTAATATTTCTCTATGTGATCTGATTTTCCCATTTTTGTCTTTTAATTTGAAAATTTGTTCCTACTGTTGATGGCATTTGTATCTCCTGTTAGAAGTTTGTTTTACAGTGAGTCGAATATGTGTTTTCGGAATTCATTGACATCTTCTGATTGTGTCCATGGTCTGTTTTTCTTCTTCATCGTCATTTATCACTCTGGATAGATGCATTATCATAAAGGACCCCGCAATATTTAAATGGAAATTGGTTACCCGTGATATTTGGATGAAATTTAAATATGTTATTGGGGATGCCGTAAGCAACATTTTTTACCATGGACACAACCCTGTATGTATGACAGGTGAGGCGTGGTTAGCTGTCAAATATTGGAATCTTATATCCAAAAGCAGAGTAACTATGGCAGATTTTGATGAACAAAAAAAACTATTTCTACTAAGTCGACCAAGTTAAGTCGAAAAATGTCAACCATTTTGACACCTGTCAAAACCCTGTCAAACAGCAGCACTCATCCTTTCCAGTTTTCAGTATTTTATGATGTCATCTGATATTTTTAACTTGTAAGTAAATTCTGAATTCAAAAATTGGGAAAAAATGACAGAACTGTCAAAACCTGTCATTTGTTTTAGTAGAAAGAAATACTCTAATCTGGTTCTTTCTAGTTTCGAGGTAGTGTATTGGTGATAAAACATTGAACAAAGTTCATGCACGTCACACTTTGACAGCTGTCAATAGCTTTAATTCAAAGCTTTAATTCAAAAAAGAATCAAATCTAATTCTTTTCCAGTTTAAGTTGGGCTTATTTATGATAACGCATGAAAAAACATTACACGAAGGTTTCAAATTTTGACAGAGATGTCAATTTTTATTTTAAAGTACGTAGTTTATATGTTGAGTACTTTAATGAAATTATTATGATATTCAGTACTATAATTAAATCATTGAAGTACTCAAACATTTTGACACTCACAAATGAAATCTACAATGATGTAATTTTGACAGTTCTGTTTTTTTTTTAATTTTTGAATTCAGAATTTACATACAAGTTAAAAATGTCAAATGACATCATAAAATATTGAAAACTGGAAAAGATGAATGCTGCCGTTTGGCAGGGTTTTGACAGGTGTCAAAATGGTTGACATTTTTCGACTTAACTTGGTCGACTTGGTAGAAATAGATTTTTTGTTCATCAAAATCTGCCATAGTTACTCTGCTCTTGGATATAAGATTCCAATATTTGACAGCTAACCACGCCTCACCTGTCATATATACAGGGTTGTGCCCATGGTAAAAAATGTTGCTTACGGCATCCCCAATAACATATTTGAATTTCATCCAAATATCACGGGTAACCAATTTCCATTTAAATATTGCGGGGTCCTTTGTTAATTCGGGCTGAATTTCCTCGCGTTTTTTAATGATTTAAGAATTGCCGAAGCTTCGATGGAGTCAGAGGCTTTTCGGTAATCCCCAAAGGTCAAGTAAAATGGTATATTATGCTCCGTACTTTTTCGATGAGCTTATAAATGGTCGGTTTCAGGGACTATATTCTCTACAAAATCCGCCTGTGCAACGAGTTGGTAGGAGTCCATTTTGTTGGTTATTGGTCAACCGGTTTATTTTTAATTTTGTTAGCAGCTTCTACTAATGACATAACAAATTGATAGGACGAAAGTTTTCAACCTTGTGTTTGTATATATTTTTTTGTATATTAACCCTACGTTAGGCACGCGGTCTACGATTGTAGACCACATATATTTCATCGACCATAGATTCAAAAAGGTGTTGGTTGCGTATGCGCGAACTATAGTAGCTGTCGATTACACCGTAGTCTATCGTTCGAGTATGCGAACTGCAGCGAAGCAAGTTGTTGCTAATTTTTAAGCACGTCCAAACACAATTCTAGCCCAGTAAAACTTTTTTTGTCGTTTCAAACTGACCACAAGCTAATAAATGTATAAAAATTCATATTTTTGGTTGTTCATTGATTAGCAAAAAATTATAAAAAAATATTAATGTAAAATACATTTAACACTAAAATATAGATATGAATAAATACATATTTTACCATTTTTTATTGATTTGTGTCATAAGGTATCATATAATGACAAAAAAAAATGGTCTACATATGTAGACAGCGCCACTAAACTTGTTACAAAGTACCGCGCGCCGAACGTAGGATTAAGTAGGATGTTTCTGTATTTTGCCACTTGTTTGAAATGTTTCCTGCCATCAAACATTTGTTTTGCAAAGTCCGTAAAGCTTCTGACAGCACCTCACCGCCCATTTTTATCATTTCTCTAATAATTTGATCTTCACCGCGGCTTTTTCTATTTTCCAATAAAGGAGGCTTCTCGTTGACAGATCCTCCAGGATTAGCGACACTTTGCTACTTCGTTAAATTTCTTTTTTTTTTATCGTAAAAAAAAAATTAAATTTTTCATTCTTTAAATAAACTTAAAGATCAAAAACCAAAAACCAATAGGTATATGTTCTTTCTTTTTTATTTTCAGCATTTTTTTTTTAGCTACAAGACCATGCTGTCTTCATTTATGGTTCACAGCTAAGGAAATGGGCCTAGAAATTCTAGTTACAGCTCTCATAAACATTATGGAATTATGGAAAATAATAATCAAAAGCTATAGTCTATAGATAATCTAACATCCTGTATAAGCTGCATAGTCGAAATTACATCTTGGACCATAAACCACATCGGAATGTTCCAATATCGAGAAAGCTATACGGTATATTTACCGCAGGTAACCACCGCAAAATCTCTGAACTTTACCGAAGACATTTACTTTATTGAATTACGAAAATTTATGTGTTGCAATAAAACCTAGTAAGCCTAATACTCTTGGGAGGGTTGCCGGGGTCTTTTTGGCAGTAATCCGGTCATCAATTTAAATAAGTCAATATCGACGAAGTTGAGAAGAAGCTCTAATGGATATGAAAATTGGAAAGCAAGCAACACAAAAGGTTGGACTTGACGTTTTGTAACTTAATTCGTAATAAGTCCCATAACTCACCTGTGGCCGGTTGGACTCTGTGATTTGTAAGGCACCATCAGGGCAGCCTTCGGTTGTAAATGAAACGAACCGACCCAAAGTGAAACTATCGAAGGTAATCTATAAAAAAAAAAACAAATTGTTACTGGAAACGGTATTCTAAACTAAACTCTTTAATATTATTCGTAAAATGAAATAGAATCTAGACACAAAAAGTAGTATTATTTTATTTAACGAGCTGATAATGATGGCTTTTACTTACGAGGATGAAGTGAACAATAAGTATCCGAGTGAGCAAAAGCCATTACCCGCGAGTACAATAACATACTTTTTCTATGATTAATGAATAATAGAAACGAGTGTTGCAAAAGTTTATTTAATTTATTCGTCAAAAAGCTCATTGACCATTTCGACAGCTGGAGGACAAAGTGAGGTTAGGTTATCCCAAGGACTATAAAACAAATTTGGAGATTGGAAAAACATAACCCGGAACTAGCTTTATGCTTATTTATTGTTTGGCGTTCAGCTTGTCCTCCAGTCTTGTCAAAATCAGCTGTTTTAAAATGATCGATTTGAAGGTTGACGTATGTTGCCAACTTGCCGAATTTTATGATTGGCTCTTAAATATTTGAGTAATGACATAAGATACTTTCATTGGTTTAAAAACATCTCGCAATAATCAATAAAAAGTATGTATAATTTATGATTATTATTCAATAGTCCTAGAAAAACATTGTTTATCGATCACTCCAAAGTAATCGGCATTATGGGAATTTGATGAGATGAAATGGGCTTTGCCCTATAATATGTCGGAATAGGATCAAAATCCGATTTATGACGAAATATCTTCCGAGCGAAATAAAAATGATAAAATACTGTAAAGCCAACATCGAGGGTTTTTGAGAGTATACGAAAACGATTTCAATAGCAAAATTTTATTCTGTTAGATAGTAATTTTGTTTTTTTTTTTTGGAGGATAACACTAATTGGAAATTGGTAAATTTTCATAACAAGATTATCGTCGAGTTTCCTGGCACAGAAAGTGGTAAATCTATAAATTTATCATAGGGTGAATTGTATGGTTCCATGATACCTTATAATTTACACGGAGCTAACTTTGTCGCAAAAAGTAAAACATATTTTATATTATTTTATTTTTAAATTTTTAACGGCACCGGTGATGCCTAGAAACTAGCTTAAATGTCTAATAAAATTAACAATTTATTTTCATAGAAATATCTGTTAACCATTCTTCTACCCTATTCGTTTTTGTACATGATAAAAAGGAAACAGTCGAAACACAAACAGGCTGATCAAGCAAAACTAGCAACCGTGCGAGAAATTCAATTTTCTCCAAATTCCTTGGGCTTGTCAGGAGCATTATTCTGTGGATTCTCTTTTATATCACTTTTAGATAAATTTGGCGGAATACATATCAGTCTTACCATTTATTTGTTCTGAATGAAGAGAATTTGTATATTCATTTACGGTATACGATATTATATGAGAGACCTTTTTCATCTCTTATGAAAAATCTCCTCTCCTAGGTGACTTTATCGTTTATTAACGCGTTGTGACGTTGCTTGCGTTGCGCTATTTTTAAAGCAGAATTTTTAGTTTTTGCACCCCGTCCCTAGTTCTTGTTTAGACGCTATTTGACATTTAGAGAGAGTAGGGTTATCTGCAGAAGTTTTTTGTTTTTTCTTAACTTAATCGGTTAGTAAGAAATTTCGTTATTTCCTAGTGAATGCGCATGCCCGAAATAAGCGATAGAGTAAAATGGCATAAAAAGTAGAGTTGCAAAAGGTCTCTGCGAACCCGCATACCGCATACGTCACATTATTTTCAAAAATTGGTAATAGCCTTTACCCATAACTTCCCTCGGTAAATCATCCCAACCTCTTTTTCGATAAATATCAGAATTTCAGGACCCAATCTTGTAGAGCAGATGAACCTAAGGAACTTTCAAATTTGAACTATTTTTCTGAAATAAGTAGTTTTGAAAATATACATCAAAATATTTTTGAACACAAATGGCATCATAGCATATCAAAGAGTGCTCTGATATGTCGCCGCATTATTGTTATTTTATTGGTCAGCTTTTTTGACATGACATTCCGACACGAGTTTCGACATTAAAGTTCATTGACAAAATTGAAGGAAAATTTTGCTAAGACATATGTTCAAAAAACCATATCAACTTTGATATGTTTTTTTTTTTGAAGACCCGTTGTCTTGAAAAGGAATTTTTATTCGGCAACAACAAAAACGTATCTGTAGTAAACTCTAAGGAACGGTAACTTTTCGCTAATATAATCAACTTCGTATCATTTAAGGGTCTTATTATTGCCGCATAGTTTCTAGAACACCCTGTATATCTATTCTACTAACGAAAACCCTCACATTCGCATTGTCGGTAGGTATCCAACGTGTATACCAAAAATTGTTGTTCTTTGGCGTTGATGTACATACAGTAAAACATTTTACAATGTCGGATTTTAGCACTGAACTGAAGAAATGGTAAGATCTGATTACGATACCAGTATCATTGATTTGGCATCCCATTTATGTGTAAAAAAATTGTACAGTAATCTGAAGAGGAGAACTGAATGTGGATTTGATGTAGGGTGAATTTTATACAGGTTGTTCCTAAATATCATGTACAAACGGAAGGGGGTGATTCTCTGGTTCATTTTATGACTAAAATTTCTAATAAGCATAGGTCCGCAAATGCTTCGTTAGGTACCGATCTATAGGGTGTAAAATTTTAATGTATTCACATTAGTCGGGAATCAGCACACCGAAATTCGATCACGTACTGTGCACTCGAGGATATACTTTTTAAAAAATATGTACAATATGGAGAATGACCTTGCGGATGCAAATCCGGAGGGCTCCATTTAATTCGTAATTGCAATTAAGAATAAAAAAATATTTTCCGACTTTTTTGAATTATCCGGAAAATACTATTTTTTGTGTTTAACTCACGATTGTGAAGCTATTTTTCAATATTTTTCCAAAATTCTTGCACGAAATGAAAGCCATAGTCATTGTAGAGTTCAACTGTATATGCAAAAAACTATTTTTTTTTATACCGAATTTGTCAGATTACGTAAAAGGAGGTGTGGTACCAAAACTGAAGAGAAAATTTCAGCATCGAGAAAATTTTTGAACGGTTGAAGATAGATATATGATCAATCGACGAAAAATGTGCCCAAATGAGTGAGGCAGTTTTTGGTGAAAAGAGATTTTGACTAGCGATAACGGTTTCCGAGATATGATTTTTTTTTGAAACGACGATGCGCGCCGGCCGCTGTCGCATTGATCTCAACGGACGCCTTGCCCGTACCCTGGCCCCAGCGCGGCCCAACTTCGACATTACTTATTTATTCTATAAGGACAGACATTTCTATAAAACCTAATTAGGTAACTAAAACTTACTCAATTTTAATTTGAATAAAACCCGCCTCCAGAATAGCCAACCTCTTATACCATTCAGTCCTGTTTTTAAACAACTATAGTTTAGTTTCTAGTGCATATCTGGAGTTTGCATTTGCAGCACCCTTTTTGAATCTTACATCAGTATGGATACTTATTGTGGTTAATTTTAAAATATTTCAGATTCCAACCAAAATTAACTGGGTTGTGAATTTTTGGATTTAATAAAATCGCACTCTTCCACACAATTATTTCATAGGCCGTTCTTTCTTAATAGTAGGCACTTGCTGATGAAATGCATCCTCTGTGGGTGGCAAATTCCTTATATCAGATTTACAGGTATGAACTAGATGTGCGCATGACATATTGTTTATTTTAAACTCTGTAAATGATGGCCTACCCTTACCCTACAAAATTTTGAAAAAATATCTAGCTGCGTTTTCGAAACTCATTAAATTATTGTAGTGGAGTAATCTAGAAGTGCCTTCAATTCATGTATATCGTTATTCAAATCTATTTGAACAAGATTTATCCGTGGATAATTCTTTCATGATGTGGTGCACAGGTATTATGTGCCAAATTTTGTGTAGCCATAATTCCTGAATGGATAATCTTTGTAATAAAGTAGAGAGACATAACAAATATGTCGGTATCGGCCGACTCTATTATTATTTGATGGTACTGTAGGTTTGACAAGTATTGGATTATTGGATAATAGCAAATATTCTAGTGCAAGCCTTATTGTGGTGAGAAAAGTGTAGTTCAGGCAGTATTTAAGAAGTATTTGCTGAGGTATCTATACCATATAATTTGTAAAGTCTTTTTTTTTAAACAAAACCCCGAGCAAAACCCCAAGTCAAAAATTTGTGTTACATTGTATTGCTAACATTATGTAATGTTGACTTTTATCTTTAATAAAAAACTAGATTTTACTTAAAGTTTGCTGTTCATAAATTGAAATTGAAGATAGTGAAGTAGTGTAGGTATTTTCTGCCATTCCAGCGCTAATTATGACGATATTCTTGAGAAGGCGGTTATATTCCGTCCATATCAATTGCGTATTTAAAAAAAACAATTATTAAAACAGAATAAATAGTTGAATAGTTCTTCCATTTCCTACAGGTCGTGATCGAATGGCCTCCTAATTTCTTTTAACCGAATTATTGAAGTATAGGTCGGACCGAGTGTAAGTCTCCGTTGAAGCGGCAGGGGCGGGCGCGCATCGGCGTTTCACAAAAAAAATCGTACCTCGGAAACCGTTAACAATAGTGCAAATTTATTTTCACCAAAAACTTCCTCACTCATTTAGGCACATTTTTCGTCGATTGATCATATACTTATCTTCTACCGTTCAAAAATTTTCTCGATGCTGAAAATTTCACTTCAGTTTTGGTACCGAACCTTCTTTTACGTAATCTGACAAATTCAGTTAAAAAAAAAAATGTTTTTTTGCACATGTAGGTGAAATCTACAATAACTAGGCTTCCAATTGGTTCAAGAATTTTGAAAAAATATTGAAAAATGGCGTCACAATCGTGAGTTAAACACAAAAATAAATATAGTTTAAAAAAACTAAAAAACACGCTTTTATAATAAATTGAACTAAAAAGTGAAAAATAATTTTTGATATAAACAGAAAATATTAATGAACAAAAAATATTAGAATTATTGTGAAAAAAGCGTGGGGTGCTTTGTTCCACATTTCTCGTACATTGAGCACCCCACGCTTTTTTCACAATAATTCTAATATTTTTTGTTCATTAATATTTTCTGTTTATATCAAAAATTATTTTTCACTTTTTAGTTCAATTTACTATAAAAGCGTGTTTTTTAGTTTTTTTAAACTATATTTTTTTTTCACTTTTTAGTTCGATGTATTATTTTGCTGTTCATTTTTTTATTTTGAAGAAAAAACTTCAATTCTTATTTGTGTTTTGTTTATATTTTGAACCATTTATCTTTATCAACGGCTAGTGCGTCGCACCGCACCGGTACCACACTCACACTGAGTGTGTCATTCCTGAATTCGCCCCAGAGATTTCCAGATTTTTGCAGACATTATCCAGACTTATTCAGAGCTTTCCAGAGTCTTCCAGATTTATCCAGACTTGTACAGACTGATCCGGATTCTGGAAAATGATCCCTAAGTCTTTTGGGACCTTTTCCAGAATTTTCCCGACCCTTTCAAGAAGTTTCCAGGCCTTTTCCAGATGTTTCAAGAGATTTCCAGACTCTTCCAGACAATATCCAGACTTATCCAGAGTTTTACAGACTTCATCCAGATTTATCCAGCCCTTATCCAGACTTGTACAGACTGCTCCGAATTCTAGAAAATGATCCCCAGGTCTTTTGGGACCTTTTCCATAATTTTTCCGACCCTTTCAAGAAGTTTCCAGGCCTTTTCCAGACGTTTCCAGACTTTTCCAGACGTTTCCAGACTTTTCCAGACATTATCTAGACTTATCCAGAGCTTTCCAGAGTTTTCCAGACTTCATCCAGATTTATCCAGACTTTATCCAAACTTTTTCAGACTGATCCGGATTCTAGAAAATGATCCCCAGGTCTATTGGGACCTTTTCCAGAATTTTTCCGACCCTTTCCAGAAATTTCCAAGTCTTTTCCAGACGTTTCCAGAGATTTCCAGACATTTTCCAGACTTTTCCAGGCTTTATCTAGACTTATCCAGAGCTTTCCAGAGTTTTCCAGACTTCATCCAGATTTATCCAGACTTTATCCAAACTTTTTCAGACTGATCCGGATTCTAGAAAATGATCCCCAGGTCTATTGGGACCTTTTCCAGAATTTTTACGACCCTTTCCAGAAATTTCCAAGTCTTTTCCAGACGTATCCAGAGATTTCCAGACTTTTACAGACAATATACAGACTTCTCTAGCTAGACTTGTACAGGCTGATCCGGATTCTGGAAAAAGATCCCCAGATCTTTTGGGACCTTTGGCAGAATTTTTCCGACCCTTTCCAGAAATTTCCAGGCTCTTTCCAGACGTTTCCA